CTAAGGAGGAGCAACTGCCAGCCTCATGCTGACGCTGGCAAAGAATTCCGTATTTCATCCAATGTACGAAAAAAAACAAGCTTTCCTGATGCGCTAAATAGTCGACCTTGCTCACGATGTCACTGTAGGACACTATAAGGAGGCGTCGTGTGTGCTGGCACATTCGGGTTGTTGCGAGAGCAGAATAACCGAAGGCCAATGCAGTCTCTCGAAAAAATCCAATCCGTAGTCTACGCCGGAACCAACATTTCGAGCGGCCTCTTGTACTGCCGCCCCGTGCGCGCGAGAATCAACGGGTTCCGTTTTCCCGGTGCCCTCCGTCTGGCTACTGTGTCTCGGGTGCACGTTTTTCATTCTCTTGCGTTTTTTTCGAACATATATTTACATCAAAATGGGTTGGCACGTGCCCCTTTTAACGGCCTTTGGGGTGATCGGTCGGGTGAAATGTGCTCGCCGGTGTTGAGGTCGTTATTGGGGTGGGGGGTAGATACTTGGACCTTTCTTGCCACGCAAGCGTTGCTGACGTGACTCCGCGACCGTTCGTCGAATCGCACCTCGCAGCCTTCGGTATCCGAATTGAAGGCAGCTGCCAAGTCAGGTGCGAAGGAGGGAGCCAAGGAGGGTTCAGCTTCCGCGAAGGATGAGATAGCCAAGGTGCAGACTGACGTCTCCAAGGTTCACTCGGACATGAAAGACAAAGGTCAGGTGGTTGTGGCGGGCATGGGTGAAGTGTTGAAGAATTCGCTCGAAGAGTTCGCAAAGGCCCAGGACGAGAAGTTGAAGAAGCACGCCGAGGCCCAGGAAGAGAAACTCCGGGACTTGAAGACGCATGTGACGGAGGGTTTTCGAACAGCGTGTGACTTCATCGTCCAACAGGTGGTCTCCCAGGTACAGAGGTGAGTGTTGACGTCCTGGGGGTCAATTGTTGAAGTTTTAGTCTCCAATTTTACACTGTTGCGAGGAGAGCACACCTTCTGACGTTAATGCGTGAGTGGGCGTGGGTGTGTAGGTGAAGAGATGGATATTGAAGTGACGCGACGTGGATGTGTTGCTGGACGGTACATTTCGATCAGACGAGGAAATTACTGTAGATGAAATTGGCAAGCAACTGGAAGACAGCGTTGGAGATTAGCTCAGAAAACAGACTTAGATCTGTCTTCCTTTTTTTTTCTCCATGTCTCGATCTTGATTAGTCCGCAACGTTCGGATATAAAACAAATCCGATCCGGATCTGTTCGCATCTCAATCTTTGCCTAAACTTGCAATGTCGCCGGATTCGTCAAGGAAAGGGGGTTCAGCTGATGGTTTTAGGGTTGGAGTCAAGCTCGAAAATACCAGAGAAAAAAAACGTGACTCAATGACGGAGATATGTCGATTCGTTGGACGATTGTGTCGACAAACC